ATAGCTAGACCTTCTCAAAAAGCAAAATCGCTCGACAATATGTATGGTTTTCTGTATCCAGAGATTCTGCTCGAAGATTGGTGTGAAGAAATTGGTATGTTACTGGTCAAAGCTGAGGGTACGGTATTGGTGTGAGGAAATTGATATGTTACTGGTCAAAGCTGAGGGTACGGTGTTGGTGTGAGGAAATTGATATGTTACTGGTCAAAGCTGAGGGTACCGTATGTGTGAAGAAATTGGTATGTTACTGGTCAAAGCTGAGGGTACGGTAGGTCTGACAAAATATATATTTTTCTGAATGCAGAGATTCTGCTCGATCGACTGGGCCGAGAAAATATATATTTTTCTGAATGCAGAGATTCTGCTCGATCGATTGGTACAAAATATATGATTTTCATGATCCAGAGATTCTCCTCGATCGATCGGTGCGATATATTATTTTCTTTATCCGGAGATTCTGCTCGATCGATTGGTGCGAAATTGGTATGTTACTGGTCAAAGCTGAGGGTACGGTAGGCTTGAATGTGCTAACCCGTATAACATCACATAAATTGCATTATCTCCCCGTAGACTGGGAATTTTCCAGGAACCTTCTCTGTTTTAGAAAGCAGAGATTCTGTTCAATCGAACGATTTATAAACATTGTTATGTTTCCTGGTGTAACCAAGTCGAGCACCTCTTTCTCAAAACATAAAATCTAAATCTCAAGAATTTGGTAGATAACCCAAACAAAAGTAGTTATTATCTTCAATTCAGATCTTACAGGCGAAAGATTCCCAGGAGCGACGGCTGAACAACAACAAAATGTTGTGGGAAACTGTGGCCGATGAATTCCGGAATTCATAAGCGATGCAAGTACTTAAGGAGCAAGGAACGAAGGATCGGGGTCATCAGTCTAATTCACAGTTTTCGTCGCAGAAGTCTCGTCCATGTGTAATAAAGAAGAAATCAATTATTCTTGTGATTAATCATTATTGTGAAGTATTATAATTGATCACTACTGTCAATCGTTCTTAATTTAATATTGTGTGAAAAGTATATGCCAAGTGGCCAGTTACTATAATTATCAAGTGATCACTGAGTATTAAGTAATAAATATTATATTAAATTTCCACTGCGCATCCCACCGCACGCTGAGTTTATTCATTTTTACTGGTAGCAGCGACTCAGGTAAGCCATTGGATTATATTCAAATATGGATTCAATATTTTCAGAGAAAGATTTATTACGTATATGGCTTATGGAAAATGTTGGCATAATTGCAATTTCTACTAAGCCATATTACACTGTTCATAAAGTTAGCATATTGCACATTCTTTCCGGTCCAAAAGTTTGCTCAAGTTTTTGCACACACTCAAATGTCAACAACATTGCCAATTGTACGCAACTGGGTTGG